GGGGCTGGGGTAGTCGGGGGGGTCTTGGGGGAGGGGCACTCTGGGGCTGGGGTGGTTGGGGGCTCTTGGGGGAGGGGCACTCTGGGGGTGGGGGCTCTCTGGGGCCGGGGTGGTCGGGGTCTCTCGGGGACCAAATCACCGGTGTGATGCTGCGCAGAGGCCCCAGCCGCGAGCGAGGGTGCCTGGGACCCGTCCTGGTGCTGAGGTCGGGACGCTGGACTGCCCCACCCAGGGCTCACGGTGAAGAGGCAGCAGGGGGCACCATTCACCCCACTAAGTGAGGGGACCCCACCCAGCCCTGCCCCAGGCCCCGACTGACCAGGGACACCCCCAAGCAGAGCCAGGGGAGCCCAGGGCACAGTGACCGAAACAGGCCCAGGCCAGGGAGGAGCTCAGGCTGGGCTGGGTGCGGGGCCCTGGCCGGTCACTGGGTGAGCGAATGGGCCCCTCTGGCCTCCCACCCCGATGGCGACGCTGCCTCCCGCCGGGTCCCTGGGGTGAAGTGTGGCCGCTGGGCTCCGGACTGCCGGGCGGGAAGAGCTCGGGGGGCTGTGACCCTAGCAGTGCATGGCCCAGCCTGCTCCTGGCTCCAATGGGGTGGGCACCCCCCCGGCAGGCGGGGGCTGATCCATGCCAGACAGGCCAGCAGCAGCTATGGCTCTCCCAGGGCCAGGGCATGGGGCTCGCCTGGGCTCCCTCGGAGCTGGTCACAGGTCTGTGGCTAGCTGGCCACTTCCTGGCCCCGAGCTTGTCCAGAGCCGCAGGATGGGGGCTGCAGCCCGGCACTTAGCCCCTTGGAGGTGCCTGTCTATGGGCCAGACCCCTCCCCACCCAGGGTCTCCCTCTTCCTCCAAGGGAGGCCCCGCAGCCCCAGCACCCCCTAGACTGAGCCCCTGGGCTCCGGACTCCTGCTCCACCCCGGAGCCCTGCCCAGCAAGTCCCACCCAGCCAGTGTCTGCGGTGACAGCAGCCGCCTGTGCCCAGCACAGCAGGGGGGTGGCTGGGCCCCAGCCAAGGGGAAGCCACCCAGCAGGCCAGCCAGCCCCCGGCTGCATAGGAACCACCTTGGCTTCCTTCCTCCTTGCACCAAGTCCCTGCTGAGAGCCCAGCCCCTCTCGCTGCCTCCTGCCCCTCTGGCCACGCGCCGCTCGGCCCTTGTGTCCGCTGTGCGGTCACTAGCCCACGTTGCCATCTGGGCTCTGTACAATCCCTGCTGATGAAACCTGCCGATGGGCCGGGCCGCGGAGCGGTAGCTCAGGGCAGCCCTGCAGAGCCGCTGGGTCCCGCGACGCGCTCGGCCCCTTCCAGCAAAACGGGTTAATAGAGCCAGGCACGGGGCTGGCACCAGGCACCAGGAATGCAGCCAGCCCTAGAGCCGGGGGGCTCTGCCCTGGGACGCAGCAACTCTGACCGGGATGTACAGGCTGTCAGGGCTCCCCGGGATCCGAGCTACGCCCCAGCTTTGGAACAGTCTCTTGGGGGAGCCCGTCAGTGGGCCAGACCCTCCCCCACCCCGGGGGTCCTACCTGCCCTTCAGGAGAGGCCACGAGGACTCAGCCCTCCCAGCTGGAGCCCCTGGGCTCCCTCCCTCCTGCTCCACCCCAGGCCCTGCCCAGCGAGTCCCACCCAGCCAGCCCCTGGGCGAGACGTGGCCCCTCCGCAGGGACCGACGCCCCCAGCCGGGGTCTGCAGCGGCGCCCGGCAGCCTGTCCAGCCAGAGCAGGGTTTGTCCGGCACCTGGAGCCCCCATGGGCAGCCCTGAGCTCAGCCCAGAGACCTGCAGGCTGAAGCATCGTCCACCTGGCCGAGCAGAGCAGCTCCCCAGCCAGGCTGGGGGGGCCCCAGCTCCGGCGCTGGCTCTCACAGGAGCGCTGAACGCCAGCTCCCAGGGCGATGGTGGGGCCCAAAGAGCTGACGTGATCGGGGGTGTCGGGCTGGGGTACACAAACCCCGCCCTGGCAAGCAGGGGCCAAGGAACTGCCCCGGGCCCAGCCCCACCCGCAGGAAAGGCTCCAGCTGGAGGAGGAGATACAAGGCAGGGGAGCAGCTCGCTGGGGCAGCCCAGGGGAGAGCGCAGACCTGCAGCCAGCAGAGAGCGGAGGGAAGGTAGAATCTCTCCCCAGGGCTCCGGCAGCTATTTAAAGGGCCGGGGGGGGGGTAGAAGCAGGGGAGCCCCTGCCCTGCCCGCAGCCAGCCCCTGCTGCACCCCCTGCCTGCACCAGCCCCGCACCCCGCACTCCCTGCCCGCAGCCAGCCCGTCTCCAGCCAGCCCCGCACCCCTTGCCCTGCCTCCAGCCTGACCCCACCTCCAGTCAGCCCCTGCGCTGCCTCCAGCCAGCAGTGTACGTAACATATCATTTTGTTTTTATTTATATAGTTATGGAACGTAAATAACACATGGAAGAAATGAAAGGGGTTTTTTTACATGGTTTTTTTTTTTTTTTTTTTTTTCTTCCCTGTTGGGGCCCCGCTGAAAATGTTCGATTTCGGACCCCCACTCCTAAAGCCGGCCCTGACTCCGGGGTTCTGGTCATGCCCCTTGGCTCTGTTGGGCCACCCCAGCAGGGACGGCCCGTGGACTGCGCTGGCCTGGGAGGGCCGTACCGCGGGAGGGGGCAGCTACCGGTGAGAGAGGAAGAGAGCTGCCCCGCTACCTGCAGCCGCCGAGGGGGCCCGGTGGTGAGCAGACACCCTCACGCTGCCTTCACCCGGACGGCGACCTGGAGACGAGCGCGGGGGCTAGGATGAGTCCCGAGGAGGGCAGCCGTACACACTGACAGCCCTCGTGGGGCCTGGATCGGAGTCCGGTGGAGCGGGAGGGTCCGGGCTCCCCTACCATCAACCCCCCCACGTCACGGGCCTAAGCCCTGACCACTAGGTGACGCTACCTGACCAACACCCCCCGAGCGAGGGGGCAGGGGGGGATTTTACCGGTGTACTCGGGGTTGGGGAGACCGACCCTGGGCCCTGCGCCCAGGTCTGGTGCCCACGGATCAAACAAGGTGTTGAGATTGGAGGGGGGTAGGAAAGAGCCACCAGGTGACGGGCCAGGCAGCAAGTGCGAGAGACAGACAGCCGCTGGCGAGGTGACGTGCTCAGGGTGTGACGCCGGCACAGCCAGAACCCCCGGCGCTGCCCTGGACGCTTGTACCCAGCCGGGAAAGGCCGAGCTCGGCCCCATGGCCCAGGGCAGCTCAGCAGTGAGCTGTGGATTGGCAGGAGGGAGGCGGATGAGCCCTGGGAACAGGCTGCCGGAGTCTCCGTCGCTTCCTACCTCCAGAGCCAGGCCGGAGGCAGCTTCAGCCACACACGAATTCTGAGCGCGATGCAGGGGGGCCGGGTGGGGGGCAAGGGCCTGGGCTACCAGCAGGCCAGACTAGGTGAGCTGCCGGCCCCTTCTGGCTCTGCCGGGGGAGGGGGGAGCTGCCCTGGCCCCCAGGGTCTGTGAGGGGAGGGGGGAGCTGCCCTGGGCCCCAGGCTCTGCGTGCGGGGAGCTGCCCTGATGCTGGAGACAATTCACGCCTGGTCGCTGAGCGAGTGTTTCTGAGAAGCAGCAAAGAGTGAAAAAGGGAAGCACCCTCCCTCTCCGTCCCCCTGGGCCCCAGAGTTTAACACCCCCCCCACACACAGCTCTGCCACGGGGATGGGGGGGGCGTGCCCGGGGCCCCACCACGGCCTGCCTGTGCCCGCTCCTAGAGCAGGGGTCACGAGGCAGGGACAGGCTGCTGCTGCCTGGGTTGTGCGGTGGGGGCGGACGTCTGTGCCCCTCCATCTGTGGGCCTCTGGTTACCCCCTCCCCCTCTCGGGCTCCAGCCTCATTCCCCGAGGGTGAGACTGTGGTTTTGCTGTCTCATGGGACAGGACATAATGAAATAACCAGTCGGGGACTTCCCTTTCCGTCTGAGCCCAGACCCTCCGGCGCCCGGAGCAGACAGCGCCCAGCCCCGCCCGGACCGATGGACCCCCGCTGTCTCTGGCTCTGGGGTCTGCTCACAGGTAGGTCTGGCTCTCACCCCCC